TGGTGGCAAACACAAAGGTGTTGCGTTTATAATTTTGTTCAGTGTAAATAACATGTCATTAGCTTGCTAAGGTAGTAGGAGTCCTCTGTCAGCTAACACAGTTTAGAGGGAAACTGTAAACTGCACTCAAACTTGACTTTCATATCTGTTGCTCAAGATGCCACTATGTTGAACAGGTAGCTACGTTAACTAGGAGATTTATCAGATTCATTATCGTATATTTTACTTGTTAGTTATGTGAGTATTAGACCTCACTGGTGTGCCAGTATGACAGAAGCTCACACAGAAGATTACCTGTGCTCCTCTGGAATAGGATCTGAATATTGTGCAGAATCGTCCCTGACCAGACGTGTCCCTGAAACAACAGAGAAAGTTATCTCAAGGTCAAAAGTCAAGCTACTTTACACAGATGCCAAAATTTTAACTGACACACGCTTTTAAAGGTAAAAAGTTAGTGTTTGGACTTTTTCATATCTTTTCTTGAGTCTAATCACCAAATACTCAAACATTCCTGTTTCAAAACTAAAGCCAGGACATCTCAGGACTACCAGGTTTATATTCATTCCAGCAGTCACTCTGTCGGAACCATGAGGTTTTATTTGTGCTATGATATGCTGTCGTATATGGTTTTATTTCAGAATAACATGTACTAGTCAGAGTGGGGATTGTCTGACTTAAAGTTGGACTTGAGACTTGCTGTTCTTGATTTAATATTTGTTCTGAACTCCAAACTTGATAATCTTTGCTTTGAACATAACTTCAGACTTGACTAGGGCCGATATCTCGAATATACTGTATTGCTGCTTGTTCTCTTTGGGATATAGAAAATGACTGTCATGAACACCAAGTACAAATTGTCACTTTTAAGGTACTGTATGTTCACATTGCAGGAGAAAAATTAGGGTCTTGTGCTGCATGTTCTGGGCCTAAACTCGTGTAGAAATTCCCAGGGGCACTGTATAAAATTGTGCAGCTACAATGCTAATGTTGCTAGCAGTAGATCACCAATGTTAAGTTTTAGAGGAACAGACTGTTTTTTAAACAGTCTTAGTAGCAGCACTTGTGTACTGATATTTCACTAGCTTTGTCTGTCTTTATCTGTTCTTGACATGAGGACCATAATATTGCACGGTTTGGAAAAATTCAGATACATTGGTTACATACTGTAACCCGGGATGCTCTGAGTATAAATGAAGTCAGGATGAAACAGTGATTGGCTGCACGCACAAAGGTCACTGCAACCGGGGTCAACGCCAGGCCTCCTGATCCACAGGAGGAATTCTGAATGCATTTTTCCATTGAGTTCTGTTGTTGTTAAGGATCTTTGTTCAAATTGATATTTGAAGAACTAGGCTATAGTTTGTAGGCCTAAGTCATTATTTATTTTTGTTTAAAAGCTGTAAAAATTAAAATACTCTATTAAAACATTGTTTAATGTGATATATATACCACTTGTGGCATGCAAGTTTAAAATAGCTAATGAATATAAACAAAATATAAAACAATGTTTTAATAGAGCCTTACAGTCTGCTGCAGGGACTACTAGACTCAACATGTTGGTGGGTTAATTCAGACATTTACACTTTAGAGAAGATTTCAAAATAGAGACATACTGTATATTGTGTATCACAATATCGCCTAAAAATATTGCTGTATTATTTACAGGCCTTATCACCCAGCCCTAGACTTTTGGGTTGACTCAAAACTAGTTAGTCGTGACTCAGGACTTCTTGGTCTTTACTTGGGACTTAACGTTGGACTCCATACTTCACATTTCGTGTGACTATTAGTCTTGCCTTGGGACTTGACTTTGGACTTGACTGTTGGCTTGACTCAATATCTAGTCTTGACTTGGGACTTGTTGGTCTTAACTTGGAACTTATCTTGGACTTAAGACTTTGGACTTGATTCTGGGCTTGACTCAAGACCTGCTGTTCTTGGACCAGGACTTGTGTTTGACTTGGTACTTAGAGGAAAAACAAAAGATTTACTGGTGACTTGTCTTGAGAATCTGTCTTAAGACTTTCTTTGTTTTTAGTTAGAAATGAAATGTAACATCTAAACATTTTATGCTTGTTACTGTCATGTCATTTTCATGTGGGTCTTTACTCTCTGTACCAGTGAAGTGAGTAATACTGACACAGTATCCAGCCCTTTTTTGTGAGTGTCCAGAGTGAAAAACATGGGTGTTTTCCAGGCAGAGTTCTCCAGAGCTGAATACCAGAGCAGTGTTTAGGTTGGCTCATGAGGACGCTGGCTGGCTGTTGGCCTGCTGGTCCAGACTGAGCCAGATAGAAGTCAGCTGCTGGACTTTAAGTCAGGTGGTCCAACAAAACAAGAGAGATTCATCATGAACCAATACTGAGAGGCTCCATCAGTAGTTATCAGCAGTATTGTGCCTTTCATTGTTAGTATATTGTTATTACATGAAAGGAAATAATAACTGGGGAAGAGAAACCAGGCAGCAACAGAGCAGAGTAAATAAATCAAATATAAATGCACGAGAGGCGAATACATTAGATGATTTCAAACATGCTGCTTCTTTTATCATTCTTCCTGCCATGCTTTAAAATTCAACACTAACCTCAGTGACAAATACAGTATCATGTATTTCCTGTAGCTGCATCACAATGAAAGCATCATTAAGTGTAGACAGCATTTCATCCTGGTTTGGTGAAAATGTATTATATCTTAACCCTTTGATGGGTGGAGGCTGTGAGACTGCATGTAGCAGCAGATGAACACCTGCAGACACTACTCAGAGCTGTTTCCTCTGGCTGTTGACTTCATGTTTAAATCTAATTTTTGTATTAAATCCACTTCACCTCCATCATGTTGAGGTGGCAGCAGAATTCTCCTCCTCTTTCCTCTGAGTATAGAAACATACTGTACCAACAGGTCTGCCACAGGCTGCATCACCTGAAGAAGCTCTTGATCAACTCTCAGCACCCTCACATGCTCCCTGTTTGCCTTTGGTAACAACAAAACCTGATTTGGTTCATCCTGCTCTTTCTGCAGCTGATCACATGATATGAGAAAACACCATGGGGGAAGCGGATGCAGCAGTTTTATCCAGATGCTGTCTGAGCGTGCAAGTTTAAACTACGTACCAGAGCTGCAGCTTCACTCTTCTCCCATCCAGGAGGATGGTGGTCGTCTTGTAGTCGATTCCTGAAAATAACAGGACAAGAATAATAAGCTTATGAGACAGTAAAAGAAACGGAGAATGTTAGAAGTCAGCGATGAGGGTGGGTGTCCACCGACATATTCACAGATGATTAAAGGTTATTAAATTATTTCAGATTCGAGTCATCTGAGGCTGCTCTCACACCTCTAACCTGTTTGCTTTAGTTTAAAGGTGGGAGATGGACACATCTGTATGGATGTACATGTACTTCAATGTGAGGTATTTCAGTACTCTTTTCACACCACTTCATACTCCCACTTTTTACTTCAGTACATTTCTCTGACAGCTGTACTTTACTAATTAAGATTTTTACAAATAACATATACAGAGCTAAAAACATGATGCTTTTCTGTAGATTAAACCACCCAACAGTTTGTACAAATGCCAACAAAGAACAGATGATGAATCGATTAACTGACTGTCAGAAAATCCACTTCTCAAATGTCAGGATTTGCTGCTTTTTCTTTTAATAATAATTATTATTATTTCTCACTATTTTATAGATTTTTACAAATGCAGCAATTAGTCGAACTCTTGAGAAAATAATCAACAAATAAATAATCAACAGATTGATCAATAATCTAATGATACAATATAAAGTACAACAGATAAAGGGGACATTTTTCTACACTGAGTACTTTCCCTTTTATTTGTCAAGTAAATGTAGTGAAGTAAAGTAACATCTAATGAAAATATTCAAATACTGTAAACAAACAAACATTGTAGTCGTACCTGAAGCTGTACTAACAGTAGTAAATGGTAGTAGTACTGTAGTACATGTACTTTTCATGGTGACATACTGTATATGAGTGTGAGGATTTTCCCAAAAACCTGGTGTAAATGAACAGGTGCATCTCCTCGCCTTCTCTCCCATGATGCCCCGTGCTGTGAACATGTCAACAGGAGGAGTTACAGTCCAATCAGCGTGGAGGGAGGAGACGCACAGGGGAAGAAATCTACACTGGCTCTCGCCCAGCGGCCATGATTCACACAGTCACACAACACTGAAGAAACTTGAGGGGAAACGCACACAGATTTCTCCACAGAAAATCCATCAGCCTGAGTCTTTACACGTGTAGTTGACATGTTCTGGAATGTTCTGCATCTCCTCCAAGACTTCACACAGGGAAATGTTGTCCTGTTCTCTCCGCTACATTTATCTGACAACAGTTCGAATGACGCGCTCTGCTTTGACGTGTTACCCCACCCCCCACCTTCCCACCAGGGGCCACTCATGTCCACACAGATATGCTACAGGGACTACAGTTCACTACGCCCAAAAACATGCACATCTGCATGTGGTTATCAGAGTAGATTCACAGTATATATTCAACATGAAATAAACGTGACTGCTGTTTGAGTAGATTCACAGTATATATTCATCAACATGAAATAAACGTGACTGCTGTTATTACCTGTCACTGCTGCAGCGTGGGACACATCTGCTTTACTGCACATGCTGAAGCAACGGACAGTTTTTATGCTCCACATTCAACTGCTTTACTGATCAGGAGGCAAAACGTGCGAGTCCACCACACTACATGTTTTAATCGACCTTCCTGCAACCGAATCTCAGACTTCTCCGCTCACACTGTAGGGGCCGGTCAACCAGCTGCCCCTTGGAGACCAAACCTGACCGTCAGCACAAAACTACCAGTAGCTCCGTCCAGTAAAGTTTATTTAACATGTTTATAAGAGAAAGGCAGCGTTACTTTGTGAATGGACAGTCACAAGAGAACAATGATAATACGGAGCTGTATGTCTGTAAGATCCAAACAACGCACTAGTGAAGTTCTGTTGTAGTTCACAGCTGCCGTCTGGATGTAAAATACTACATCAGTAACTTAAAGCAAGCTCAGAAATATTTCTAACAGCAGCAATATGAAAAACTGAACTCCGAGATAGGCAACCAAAACCTTCCAGAAATGCACCGATCCCACAGGAGCCAGATCGTGGATTGATCAGGTGATTGATCAAGCGCAAGGAGTTGGGACCCTGCTCAACCTACATGTCACACAACAACTGGTCAAACTTCATGACCCTAAATTTAGTTGGGAGTGACTGACGTGGGGCTAAAATTGTGCTGGATCTGTATCATTTCTGCCCAGTTTAAGGTGTAATAAGGCCTACTTTATGGTCATTCATTTTCCTTTGTCAATGAAAGATGCAGGCCAACACAGCTCATCATGTTCTCGTTTTCAGAGGCTGCTTTATATTTAGTTTGAGTCTTGGTTTGGTTGTGCGAAAGGTCAACATATTTGCCATAGTTTTCATTGACAAAATGAACACTGACACACACTGAGTTCATTGCCAGTGCCCAGTTGTTCAAAACATCCTGTGCGTGGCCGTCCCATCTTTGTGGACGCCAGTTCACAGCAAACCACCTTTGTCTCAAACACTCCGATTAGCTGCTAATATCAGGCTGCTGTCACACGAGTCTCCGGCGGGAACAAGAGCTTGTCTCTTTTATAACAGTAATTATCAGGAGCTGTCTGCAAGTAACAACACTGCTGTGATGCTTCAACAATGGGCGCCAACACACACACACACACACACACACACACACACTACATGTTCTGTAAATCCTGCCTGCTTTTATGGAGAAGAGCTCAGAGGGCTCATTAATGTTAGATCCAGTAACAAATCACCACTCACCCTGGTTTATCTGGTGTGTTTAAAACAGCAAAACCACTTTACCTTTAATTACAGTAAGGGCCAGTTTATTGTGTGTCATATTCATATGACTACAGTGAACATCTGAAATGTTTGTGTCTGACCCAAATGTGAGACATGCACAAGTCACAAATAGGTGACTTGAATATATAAATAAAGGGAGCTGAGAGAGAAGCTCAAACCCCACCCACTGTCTCACCTCAACACAGCTGGCCAATCACGGTGTGAGGTTGGTATAATGTCAGAGCATCGGTTTCAGAAAGTTACACAATCCTAATCCATCTCCGACCATCTGTAGTCCGGCCATCCTGCAACCAGTTCAGACACTATATCCTGATCACTTAACACAGAGATGCTGCTTTTCAAGTCCAGTCACATAGTGAAGTATCACAGTGCTCCCCTGGTCTGTTTAAACCAGCAAAACCAGATTCTACAGCTGCAATGTAGACCACAGCTGGATTTAGACTCAGCACAGAGGGTTACCTGGGGTCCTGCCATAAACTCTGTACCTAGGCATATGTTATTATTTATGGTTGGGCATTGGATTTCAGTTGTTATCATGCTTCATATTCCCACGGTGACTGTGTTTCCATTCCACACGTGGCCTACTTTGTGAAACAGAGCGACAGGCTTCACATATGGATTTTTACTAATTTGTTATGTCTTGTTACTGATTAGGAAACTGTACTGTGGAGCAATTAATGCAGTTATGTGTTCATACAAAGCGGTGACCTGGACATAAAATTTAAAATAAAATAATCAAAACTGTAATTTAAATCCGAAAATATCCAGTCAAAGAACGATTAAACAAGACAAAGACTGTTTTCAACTCCCTGCTTCTGGTCATATGTGTTAAACTACAGACATGGCTCAGTCACATCTGACACTCAGCTCTGGATTCACAAATATCATCTTAGACAGGATGAAAGCTAAGCTGAGAGGAAGAAACCGAGACTTCAGGCGCATTAGCAAAGAGAGGGGGAAGATCTGGGAGAACAAGAAGTGATAGAATATTTATTCTGGGAGAAGTGAAACACAGCAGTCCAACCTACACACATATGTTCAAGTTATTACACTTGCACTCTGCTGCAGCATGACACATGAAGTGGTGTAGTGGTGTTACATAAGAGCTTTGTTGACAGTCATCAGAACAGTAGAACAGGACAGACTGTAGCTGCCTGCTGGGCTGACTCTGCATTAGAACTCATTCTGCAAAATAGGTTATTGTTACTGATTGACTAGTGGGAAAGCAGCACTTTCATGCTGTGGTGGAGGCTATGATTAACCCAGGTTGGAGAGTTCAACCTGGATTTATATTTGCAGAGTTTTGGCAGCTTATCCTGACTGAACTAGCTTTGTGTCTTGTTGATGGTCTGCTGGTGACCCTGGTCCAATTATGTTACCGTAGATGCTTGTACTGCTAGCTCTTCTTAAAACTAACAGCTAACACTCCAATGATGCATTGTATTTATACAGAGAACAACTGACTTTGTGCAGTTACTGGCTCCTATTAGAGATGCCTGCAGGCTGTGTCATCCAAACACTAAACTGAAGTGTTTGATATAAAAAGTCTGTATTTTTCAAGTGCTAGCCAAGGTCACCCCATCTGTACGAGTGGGGTTACACATCCAGAGGAATGAGTCAGCCTCTCCTGGCAGCACCAACAGCATCTCCACTTTCTCCATCGTTTTCCCTCTCAGCA